TCTGTGAAGCAGAAGCCATCTTGAATGATCGCCCTATTACAACCCTCTCAGATGATCCAAATGATTTGGAGCCACTTACCCCAAATCATCTGCTCTTGCTCCTAGGAAAGCCTTCACTTCCCCCTGGAATGTTTACGCCGCAAGATCAGTATGGAAGAAGAAGGTGGAGACAGGTACAATACCTGGCTGATCTGTTTTGGAAGAGATGGGTTCGAGAATACTTACCTTTGCTTCAAGAAAGACAGAAATGGAACGAGAAGCGGAAAAACCTTGTTGTTGGAGATATTGTGGTCATAATGGATCCTTCTGCGCCTCGAGGATCCTGGCCTCTTGGAAAGGTTCTGGAATTGTTTCCAGATAGTCGTGGTTTCGTGAGATCAGTGAAATTGAAAACTAAGTCCAATATTATCGAGAGACCAATTTCCAAACTTTGCATGGTGTATGGTGTCTAAATTAATGTTGCATTTGTATCACATATTGCCTCCTGTATTATTATTGTTTGAGAATTGGCATATTTGTTTATTATGCCAATTAGGGGCCGGTGTATTGGAGCCAAATATGTGTATTTTTTGTTTCTTTTTATTTATTTATTTTTTTGTTTGTTTTGTTTGTGATCACTAGATGGGGCTGTCGGCTCCAGTATATAAATGAAGAGATGACAGGTAATTGACAGGTGTTGAATCCGGAAGGGCATACAAGTTTTTGACCGCTGTGGCGGAGTCTTTGTTATCCCTGTGGCCGTGCATTGTGGAATAAATGATTTTTTATGCACAAAATGGTTCATCTGGCTGGAACAACTTATGTACTGCAAGAGGATCGTTTGAATCACGTTTACACGCGATCGACAGGTACGTTAGCCGCCAGGCGCGTCATAACAAGCAGCAACGGATCAACGCAAAATAGTGCAGTGTGAAACTGGCTATAATATGGCTCATCCTATTTTTAATCAAGAGTGGAGTGCACAACAGCAGCAGCTGTTAGATTTACAGCAGTAAATGTTGAGAGCACTTCTAATGCTCTGTGTGTTGCCTGTCTGCTTCCATAAACAAGAAGAGTTTTTTCGGTGTCTGCAGACATGAAGATATAGTTCCAGGAGGATGTCAGTTCTGCTTTGATGCACATGTTTGGATCTTCTCAGTGTGTGGCAATGAGGACACCATATCTGGTTTGTGCAGTGGGTTAGTGAATGTTCCCCATAAATACACTCAGACATCCATGCCATCCCTGACTGGTGAACTATAGAGGCGATCGAGCTCTGTGTGAGACAGCTTAAGCTGTCCTGAGTCTGTAATATTTTCACTTCCCTCTAATATTTCATAAATTAATCTTTGGGAGGAAAGCTTATCTGATCCGTGGCAGCTAGGAGATAAACCAACACCGAAACCAAATGCATCATTAATCTTTCATGTCTTAGTTTGTAGACTCGGTTCTCTGCTTTTTGTGGATTTTGTATTTCGCAATCCTGCAACATGTTTAGGCTTTGATTTTTTTCCTGTTTAGTTCAGAAATTTCTACTGCTTATATCTGCTCCAGACCTGCATTTTGCTGATGTAAGAGATGAAAAGAAATTCAGAAACTCGGCTTTCTTTAATTTTATTTATTTTTTATGGAAACTTCTGAATCCCTGATTAGCCTTTATTAAGCATAGTGTGTTTAATTCTATTTGGGGAAAAATGTTTGTTGTAATTTTTGTTATAGATTAATTTAAGATGAATCAAAACTAACTTTGGGCTAATCAGACAATTACTTCCAAAATAATCTGATATTTAAATCTAAACAGATGGCCCTATGTCTTTCATTATAGACTTTCTAGGCTTAAATGGTCCACATATCTTTCTGGGTTGCTGTTCATCTATGTCCTAAAGTCACCTTGTAAGCCTGAAATTGGACTGATTAAAATTCATATTTGTATTTTTAAAAACCACACTGCTCCTCCTTTATCTGAGATTCGACTATCCAATGGACCCTCCTTTCCAGAACCCCAGAATAGATCTTACCAGGGAGGCTTAAGGGTGTGATTCCTCTGTAGTTTGAACACACCCTCCAGTGTAGGGGGACCACCACCCCAGTCTGCCAATCCAGGGGAACTGCCCCTGATGCCCACGCAATGTTGCAGAGTCACGTTAACAAACACAGCTTCACAACATCCAGAGCCTTAAGGTTCTCAGGGCGAATCTCATCCTCCCCCGGGGCCTTGCCACCAAGGAGCTTTTTAACCACCTCAGTGACTTCAGCACCAAAGATGGGAGAACCCGACCCAGAGCCCCCAGGCTCTGCTTCCTCAATGGAAGGCATGTTGGTGGGATTAAGAAGGTCTTCGAAGTATTACACCCACCATCAGATAACGTCTCGAGTAGAGGTCAGCAGCACACACCTTCCACTACAAACAGTGATGGTACAGCACTGCTTCGTGCTCCTTAGATGTGGACCAAATCACTTTGAAGCCATATGGAAGTCTTTCTCCATGGCCTCCCTGAAGTCTTCCCATGCCTGAGTTTTTTAGCCTCAGAGAACAGCCGAGCCAACTGCCACTTAGACTGCCCCTAAACATCAGCTGCTTCCTGAGTCCCACAGACCAATTAAGCCGGTAGGAAAGCATCAGTTTGACAGCTTCCCTCATCATTGAACTACGGTCTAGGGTGTCCAGGTGCCAAGAGCACATATGGACACTCTTATGCTTGAACATGGTGTTCGTTATGGACAATCCATGACGAGCACAGAAGTAAAAAACTGAACACCACTCAAGTGCTGTTCATGTGGGCCATTCCTCCCAACCCCGAACCCCAGGTGTCACTGTCATTGCCCAGGTGAACTGGCCCAAGTGGCTGGGAAGAGAGGGATGTCTGGGCTTCCCTATTGAAGCCGCTACCCCCATGACCCAACCCCAGATAAACAAAAGAGGCTGCATGAATTTGTATTTTGATATTAACCCAGGCACAATTCCCTATTATTTCACCTATTTCCTCAAATAAAAGAGTAGAGATGACTGTACAGCATGATGCAGCCGCCACCATGCTAACAAGTGATAGAATTTGTGGCTTTGAGATTTAAACAGCTCAAACCTCCTTTTATTTTAAAGTAAAACTTTGTTTTCTCCCTAAAACTTATGCTCTCCCAAAATCAACTCTATTGAAAATGTTTAGACTACTCTCTGACTTATTTTCCTTTAATCCTTACTGCAGCCCTGTGCTCAATCGTCACCATGTTTGATCAGGACAGTCATTACTGCTGCCCAATATGCTCTGACGTGCTTGTGAGTGGGTGCCTGATTATAGTAATTAATTGATGGATATAGCAAATAACAAGTAGACACCAATGAACAAGACCAACAACTATAAAAGCTTTGAAACAAAATATAATTGAACATGGAAAAAAACAGACACAGAGATGCCTTTGGGAAATCTCTATTTTGCCTCTTTATAGTAATTGGCAGAACAATTAAGCACGGTAAAAAAAATACCAGCATGTTAAAAATATATTAGTAGCACATAATGTCTAAAATAAACAATGCAGACATTTCTAATTTGGGCCCAAACCAGGTCCCAGTCTTATAAAGTCTAAGCGAGAAGACTGCATGCATTTTCCCCATTGTAATATTTTGTTCCTTTGCTTTTATATTAAATTGAATTTTAAGTGACGCATATAAAAGCAGTTCTAGCAGTTTGCCCACAAAGCTGTGAACCTAAAGGGCAAAATGAAGAAATTCAAAAACTGTATTCAGGTTCACAGTATCTGCAGTAGAACTGAGCATAAAAAGCCCAACAGGGCTAAGCTGACCAGTTCACAAGGACTTACTAGTCTCTATTAACTAAATTTTGACCCTGAAGGGAAAAAGTCTTACAGATTGACTAAAACTGCAACATACATAACTGTTCATCCTAATTAACTCTGTCTAAATAAAATAGTCTAAAAATATTTCTTCAGATTTCACCTAAATACTAAATAAAGTAAATTAGAAAAATGAGTTCTGCACAACTTTTAAGAAATGGTTGACTACCTGAGCTGACCATTGGTAAAATAAAAGTGCTAATAAAAAAAACAGCCAACAGGACCAAAGTATCTCTGGAGGAGCTGCAAAGATGTACAACGCTCAGGTGGAAGAATCCATTAACAGGGCAGTTAGTCAGTTTGTAGCAAATTGGGTTTTAATATTAGAGTTAAACCTTGTTTATCATTTGAGGCGAGGAAACGTCATGGTGCTGCAAGGTTTTGAACCTCTTTAGATTTTGGTGACATGATCTGTATACATGCATGTCATACTGCTTGCATAGGCTGGATTATTTGTACCATGCAGCATTACGGTTCATCTCTGGTCTAGGAGCCCTAGCTCACTATTTTCTTCTATACACCCATGTTGGTTGGACTGACCCGTCCACCTGCAGATTCCGCATTGGTATATTTTTATTTATAAAGCCCCTGACCTTCTATCTCTTATCTCTAATTGTTAGAAAACTTCCAAGGGGTTATCATCTGTGCTCAGACAACTTCATTCTATTTTCTGTGCCCAAGGTTCGTACTGAGAATGGGAAAAAATATTTTCAGTTTTCTGCTTCTTCAGATTGAATCAGCAGCAGAATGACCTAAAGTTGACAGAAATTGTTTCTTTTATTAGTTTGTACATAAGATATTATTTTGCAAAGGCTTTGATTAATATTGATAAAGTGTTGTTCTGCTTATGTATATATGTCATATTATGTATATATATATGTTGTTATTAAACTTGCTCAGGTCTCTCTTGTAGGAGATTTGTAATTGCAAAGAGACATACCTGGTAAATAAAGGATACAAACAAATGCAGGCAGGAATCTACTACAAAATGTGAAATTTGCTCTTTGAAAATGAAATGTACTGTTTGTAATTCAGTTCTGTTCTGTTTTATGCTGGTCTATCACAATAAATCCCAATGCTTTCAAAGCTCAGTTTTTCTTTGTAGCGGAACTAATTGCAATAAAGTTTATGGAGCAATATGTGTTTGAATTATCATTAGGAACCAAACTAACCTCTGGCAATTTCTCTCCTCTCTCCAGAATGTCCCGCAGGTGGCGTCCTCTCTCACTGTGGCCCTGCAACTCGCCACATAACAGGTCGCCCAGGGTGACGCGGCGCAGACCAAACCTCTCCTCCATCCGTTCACACTGCACAGCCTTACCAGATCCCGGGCCACCTGACAGAGGCAGATGAAAATCACTCAATATCCTCTGCAGCCACGAAAAGGAACAACAGGGGCAGGATGAAGTGGAGGAAATTGAAAGGTGAGAGAAGAGCATAAAAAGGCAGACAAGAGGATGGTGAGAGTGTTCAGTCTTATAGTGGGTATTAAAGTGTTGATGACACAATATTGACATTTTCTAGTATTTTTTGTAGAGCAAAACATTTAATATGAATGATGAATGTAATAATTTTAGGGGGGGGGGGGGGCAGTGTCGGGTGGATGATAATCTCCCGAAAATGATGATGGATGATGTTCCAAAGCTAACTGTTATTAGCTTCTCTAATAGTGAAGTCAAAGCCTAACTTAATAATAATAACATGGCTCTGTTTTCTATCTTCAATTCAAAAATATGTTATTAACCCCAAAGGGAAATTAAATGCTGCAGTAATTCATATTTTGTTTTTTTAAATCAATTAGTTATACAGTAGATCTTGATAGCTGTAGGCATATGTTTGAAAGATCTGTGATTTGAACAAGGTCCAGAGGAATGTATGTTGTGTTTTTTATAGAGGTGATATTTTGGGCTGAAACGGGCAGATCTAACAACCCTGGCAGTAAAGGACAGGCGGAGTGGCTAGCTATACCTTTAAATGGTAAATGGCCTGTACTTATATAGTGCTTTTTTCAAGTCGGGAGACGCTTTACACTATATTCAGTCATTCACCCATTCACACACACATTCACTCAGAAGGCTGGAGGTTTGTTCTGGGTGGTTTTGTCCTGGAAAGTGTGATGCTTCCATATTCCTCAGCATAACTGATTTCAAAACATCCTTCTTAACACGAGCAAACTGATTTAGAAAACCTTCCTCTGAGTTCACTGGGTGGAGAAATACAGTTTTGCTGCTTAACAAAATTAGCTAATAAAATACGACATTTGTATATTTTATTTCTCAGTCTGTAATTGGATAATAAACATTGAAATATTTTTGTGGCAACTGTTAAATCACCTATGTTTAATTGCTTGTATAATTCTTCAACATAATTGGTTGAAAAGCATTATTAATCATTTAAGAGTTAAAAGAAAGAAAACTGTATTTTAGGGAATTTAGATAGTTTAAGCAGGTAATTTATTGGGCGAAAAATACAGGTGGAGCCTAATAATTAGCAACAGTAAGTGACACTAGATGTCACTTAGTGACAACACTAAGTGACATCAATGCAGTTTAACACAATGACTAATGTGTTCAAGGCTTTATTTGTTAATAAAGGTTTTTTGCTTACAGCTAATAAAAAAAAAACACTTTTAAAGTCAAATATTAAATGTGACAAATAAATTAATAATATAATTTCAACACAGGAATGTAGGCTGTGTGAAAAGTGTGTTTAAAACCTGCTTATAGATTATAATTTCCAAAAGGTATTTTTGATCTTTGCCTAATCTGAATTCCTGTTTTAATTAGGAACTTAACACAGATGAAACTGATGCACTTCACTTCTTTTCATTGTGTTTTCTGCGACACCCAAAGTTTTTTTTTTGAACAGTCATTCTTTTTTCTTCCCCATCAGCAGCTTCCAGCAAAACTGTATCCTCACCCATGCTATGCATAAATATAGGGGCTTTTTATCTCTTTATTTCCTCTGTAACCAACACCCTAGTGTCATGGCACTCATCTTTTAGTCACTAGCTTTGTCAAACATCTGCTTTCCTGTACACCAAATTACAGGCTTTATGTATAAGCACACAGTCGATTTTGTTGCCATGTACAGTAAACATTGATAAGCTTCTGAGCTTTTCGGGTTGTTCTGGTGTTCCCATCTACTGCCATGGACTTAACAAAGTCCAAAAATATATAGCTGGCTGTAACATTAAGCAATTATGTCATACTATCCTCCAGTCCAGTGTTGTAGCATGGTGAGGGATCGATAAACCACCTTGTTTTATGAGAGATAAATTACTCTGTTACCATTTTAGAGCCATCATTGTTCAATGTGAATAAAAAGCTGATCATATTTACCTGAGAATGAGCAGAATTAGCTTGGTGGTGGAAGTAAACCGACAACATGAGTGAAACTTTTCTAATCCTGGTCATGTCTGTTCTAATTTCACAATATTCCCTTTTAGCATTCCTATTAACATACCGCTACTTTTTTTGAATGTATTAAGTAAACGTATTTTTCCTAAAACTCTTTTTCTGGTGCTCACTCAGAGCACATCTCACAAGGTCTTAATGTACAGCTGAAAGCTGGTAAAATCATTTACATTTTACTATTTGGCTGAATGCAGCTTTCACACACAGATGGCCTCCGCCGTTCTCACAGTAGATCACACTTTGCTTGAATTTAGATGAGACTAATATTTTACAAATTATAAAACCAGGGAGAAAAAAGTGTCATTTACATATGAATATGCACAAATAAAGCATTTTCTGTCTGGCAAATTAATCATACTATTGGATTAAGGTCAGAAAAGGGTGGTAGAGTATGGGTTATAATGCTTAGTGTTGGTTCAGGTGAAATGTAGAGCACTGCTAAGAAGCTTGGTGAAGCAGCGATCTATCAAACGCAGCCTGGGGCAAAGTAATACAAGTTGGTGCTTTACATTTATCGATATCCTTGACTCCCTGCTCTCAGCTCACATTCAGAAATAAAAGTCCTCATCTCCATTTCCTCAGAGAGAGCAGACTGATATGAGCTGGCCTGGAGTTACTGACAAGATCTCTAGAAACAAGGGGAGGGGAGATTATAGATTTGTCTGTTGTGCTTTCATCAAAAAGGCAAAGATATAACCTGCTAATAGCCAGAAGGTCATAAGCAGGTAATTCAGATTTCATAAAAGCTATACATTGAGAACCAGGAGAGGCTTTTTATCAGAGAATTTATGGAGAAATAGGAGAATTCTAACATTATATTATCTTTCTTCTTAATTATGCACACTGACCAAAATGTTAAATGTTGAGTGATTTGGAAGTCAGTGCACATGCAGACAAGCTACATCTTTACAAAAAGGTGTAGCAAATAATAATGTTGTGCGAAGAAATTGTTCTTTTTTTTTTTTTTCAGATTTTCTATCCCTAATACTATCAATGCTTTTTTACCTTTGTTTAATTTTTGCAACCTAATTAAAATTGATTCATGATTATCCACAAATTAATTTCGATGACGCTCAAAAACGTTTATTCCTCCAAACAAACCAATAAGAAAACAATATATGCCTTTTTTTTATTATGGTAAATCATCTCATGAAAATTTACAATTGTAATATCTGAGCGTATACAAGGTTTTTTTTAAAAGAACAAAAATAAAACATAAATTATTCAAAATTTATGGGTTATCTTCAGAAATGTACTCCTCAGGGGCTTTTACTTTCCATAACCTGCAATGGTGCTAATACTCTGTCATAGTTTTTATGTGGTTACAGTTCAATGCAGCAATATATTCTAAAAAAACATATACAAAATCTATAGTGCAAAGCATAACAAAAAAAAAAAACACTTCAGCCAGGAAAATCACATGCAATTATATCTATTCTGCTATAGTGTAGTCTGTTCTCCTAAATTCTCCATTGTCATATAATATTAATTGGTTTTCTGTAGGATTTAAAGATTTTCAGAAAAACTGAACCTTGCAAGGTGATTTGAGTGTCAGCACATTGGTTCATCCTGTTTCTACTTTCTCTCAAGGTTTGAGAATCTCAAATATTCAAGAATGTGTGTGAACTCTCCAGATATAAAAGGACACAAGTTGACACAAAGGGAAAGGAATGAAGAAGAGTGATGCTACGAAAGCAAAGCAAGGTCGACATTAATGCGTGAGGTATAAAGGAAATCACCTAATTCTATTACCTTAATCTGCTCTGTTGAATAATTATTTCCTTCATGTTTCAGTGGGTAATATTCAAATCTAAATGAGTCTAAATAATAAATGGGTTGAAGCAGAGACGGGCTTATTGCCTCCACTAATTGGGATGCCTCAGGTATTCACATAAGTGGAGATGATCATTGGCAGTGAAAGCTCTAGGGAGCAAATACACACACCCACCCACACACGCACACAAGGATAAGTGAGAACGTTTATTGAGGAATGTGAGGGTTTGATAAAAATGACTCATCACTCCATCTTGCTTTGTATTAATTGTAATTTTTCAGTAATAATCTTTGACTCTTTGGCTTTTAGGTGTTTTGAACCAATTTTAATTTTACAATCCATTTGTATCTATTGTAACTTTATGACCTCTACATTTTGTTTTTCTTAGTAAAATATTATAGTTAAAAAACACTGATTACCTAAAAATGTGGTTATCTTGCATGATCAAAACAAAAACTGGATATAAGGTTAACTGAAACTGCAAAATGCATAAAATTAGTTAGGTACCTTTTAGGTTATTTAAGACAAACAATACATATAGATCTACAGCGTAGAAGGAAACCACCTGTTCTTTATTTGGTTTTAATTACGTTTAAACTTCATCAGGTTATAGATGGATCATGATGGATGCATCTTTTCATAAAACCTAAAACCTGAGAATATTCTATGTAAAACTATTTACACCACATGATTCAGAAGCAGGACTGCTCCGTGGTGCAGTTTGTAGCACTGTTCCGGGTTAAATTCCCGGCCTGGGGTCTTTCTGTATGGTGTTTGCATGTTCTCCCCAAATATGCGTGGGTTCTCTCCAGGTACTCCCACTTCCTCCCCACAGTCCAAAAACATGAGTGCTAGATAATCTGTTTCTCTAAATTGTCCTTAGGTGTGTGTGTTTGCATTGATGTAAGCCTCTCTGTTGCCCTGCGACAGACTGGCGATCTGTCCAGAATGTACCCTGCCTCTCGTCCATAGACTGCCGGAGATGGTAGCTGCACTGCGACGCTGACGGAATAAGCAGGAGAAGTTGGATGGATGATACAGAAACTCATCTCTAGCAGCAATAATTGAAGTTTTTGTTCCTGTACATCTATAAATATTTTACCTTATTGTAAGGAAATTTTGCCCTGATCAAATGCCCATGTACATCACATCATGAATATGAACCATTTTATTTCAGAGGTATTGATTGATTGACTGATTAATTGATTAACTTTATTGCTCTCACAGAAGAAAAATGTACTTGTTACATCAGCTCAAATAGTCAAAAAGAAGAAGAAGGTGCCAAAGAAAGAAAATGTCTTTAGGGCTACAGCCCTAATGGCGAACACTTATTCTTTTCTGCTTTGGCTAAAAAAATCCTTTCTAATTAGGACATTTTGAATGCATCTCTTTTCACAACCATTTTTTGGTGTGTGATGTTGGTCGTTTTGTCTCGTTAAGCACTTATTCAGGAGTCGTCACGTGAGGCTGAAATGTGATTTTAACCGAGCTATTAGCAACCCATTTGTTTTCAGTGGAAATCTATATTACCGTAAATTGAAGCTAACACTGTTTCTGTAACATAAGAACGCTGAAAACGGTTTCCTTTGTTCAGAACATAATGGCCGTCAAATTTTGTCTATTTAGATTTCTCTATGCTTATAGCTTTCTGATGCCATTTCTGGGATGCAAAAAGTCAAATTTTTATATGTTCAACCCAATTTACAATTCCTATATGATTTTGTACTTTCAGAGCTATTTTGATTCAGTTTTTATAGTACTAATATAGAACAGTATACATTTATAATGTATTTATTTTTTTGTTGCATACAAATTTATATAAATATGTATTTTCATACAAACTGTAAAACATCTATTTTTGCTAAGATGACCTCAGTTTAAACCTTTTAGGTCAGTGATGCATAAACAGTGGCGCCCTGCAAATATTTTCATCACAGCCTGTTTAAACAGGGCTGTTTTATCTATATGGAAAATATTAAATACTCGGAAAACATAAACCATAAACATTTTCATAAACATTAAACCTTGTTAGAGTTTCAGTCCTGGAGAAACTTAAAATATGTGTTATGAGATCTGATCAGCGTCCATCGCTGCTGGTGGGATGTTTTGAGTCCCTTTGCACAGAATGTAAACAGGTAAATCCTCTCTGATCTTAATAAAGAGTGGTTTGTCTGACTATTTCAGAAACTGATGGAGAGCAAGACAGAAAAGCTTTTCCTGTTCTGCAGCACATAATTAGAGGAAAATGTCACCCAGGGTATAAAGGAAGAGTCACCCAGCAGACACGGATGTGACTCTGAACAATGTTTGTGCCACTTAATGAGTGGGTGGCCACTCCAGCTAACATTTCTCTCATTTAACGACTTTTCTGTGATGCAGAAAATCTAACTAAAAATACATAGGCTTCTTTTAAATATGCTAACTCCTTCATTTAAAGCTACTAAATCAAGTTTAACATGCTCAAGCTGCTGCTAGTTGAACACAGACGTGGCTGCTAATATAAGATGGACTGGCCTTTATTGGACATTTAAGAAAAAGTAGTTTCCAAAGTAAACTCCTTTTCATACTGACTCAAACTGATTAGAAGCAACCAATGCTAAGATTGCTACTGCTCTAATGTGATGGTATATCTGAATTTTAGTGTTAAGTTCTGCTGTCTAGTTTTGATCGCAGAACACATTGAAATTGTTCAAATATTGCATTAAAAACCAAGTCTATCTTGTCCTTAGGCTAATATTTTAGATTTCAGATGGTGCCATGTTTATTATCTCGATTGCGTTGGTGGAAAATAATAGAGCACATTTACTTAATACAGTTCTTATGTACATGTTTTGAGTATCTTTACTTGAGTATATTTTTGGGTGTGTACTTAACTTTCAATTCACTACTTTTCAAAGTCAAATATTGTACCTCTATCAGGCAAGTTTCCATTCCTTCTTTTTTATTTTGAAGCTCTACTTTGAACTATCTAAATGTTAACAGTTCAAAGTGGAAATGTATGCAATTTTTAAATTGGCCTTAAGCTTTTGATCAGGAGTGTATAATGAGGTGTAAACAAGATGAGGATGTCCAGCCCTCAAAATGCTCAGGAAGGAGACTGGTTTGGACTGAGAGATGTAGTAGATTATTGAACACTAATGTACCAATAACTACATCAAATATTACATATCAAAATGTACCGTAAAACCTACCTATGACAATGAAAATACCAAAACTATACAAACATGCGAAAATTATCCAACGCAACAAATTCTCCCATAAAAATGAAATGAGTACAAAACACATTGATGGAAGAAATTAAATGAGGCTAGACTGAATGATGTGGATTGACAGAGTGGATCTCACTGCCTGAGTTTAAGTAATTTTTACTTTTGTGGGAAGAATGTGATTATTTCAGTCTATATGACGCAGGGGAAGAGGCTGTTGGTGAATCTGTGTCCCATGATTGTTTTGTAGCTCCATCAAGCAACCAGTCCCATTAGTTGGATCCAATGGGTATACTTTGGGTATATTTTTTATGTATTTTTTTTACTTTTTTCAAGGCTGCACTTAAAAAAAAAGAGAACTGTTCTTAACTAAATTTATTTTTAACACTTGTGTATACGAAATAAATCAGTCTAAGTATAGTGGGATTAGCCTAGTTTTACTAAGACTACAGGTTACAGATATGTTTTGTAGAGAGAGGAGATGGCATTTAATGTTTAATTATTTACTTATGTTTTGGGCCTTTGTATTGTACAGTAGGTCCAGCCAGAGATCAAACATGTGGATGCCCAGGTATCTGAAAGTCGTAAAGGTTTTCCCATGTGGCCCAGTCTGCTTTCTAAAATCTTCTGTCTTTTTGGTGTTTTGTTGAACAGCAGAGATGTACCCCATGTATCCCGTTTCCTTTGTATCTGAGATGAGCCTAACAGTGATTATGTCATCTGAATATTTGACGCTGGTCTTTTGGTGATACATTTTTTTTTTTTGTGCACAAATGTGAATAGACCCCTCAAGGCCCTATGAAGATCTCTGAAGCTGTTGAGAGAAACCCTGTACCCACAATAGTTAGAAAGCCGCTCAAAGAAGAAAATGACTCCATCTAATCTAAAAGCAATAATTAAGCGAGGTTACAAATTAAAAAAAGGTCTTATGAGCTAAAATAAGGGATGGCTTTGATAACCATTTTTAGATTTGGAGACAAAAAGGGGCAGCTGAGAACACCATCTGAATTGTTCGGACATCTCTGGTCTAGAGCATAGGGAGAGTGAAGCTGTGCGATACTTTGGATATAAAAGTGTTTTAGATTACGAACCCATCATGAAGATAACCTTTGGTTTCTTCTGTTCTTTGCAGTAACCTGTTGGAAGAAAAAAAAAACAGTCATGTTTAAACATGGAATACAAACCAAGACAAATTGTGTCATCGAGGCTGATGATCTCTCTAAATATGTCCATTCTGAAGCTTAAAATCAAGTCTGGACTCTTAAGCCATTCAGTAACAACCTCAAAGTCATTGTGAAGGTCACATTAGGGGATTAAGAAGTGCAGAGAATTGACCTTTGATAAAAATGTCAAACCCAGTACACGAAAGCTACAGATGGTATTCTACCAGATAGAACATGCTCAAAGAAACGACATTTTCTGTGGCTGAATATTTACAGAACCTGACAGGACTAACATGAAATTAACTTTGACTGAATTCAATTATAAGCCCTTTAATTATTTTGATATTAGGTCATTTCAAAGCAACACATATGCAACAGCTGAAACTTTAACAGTAATGAAGGACATGGGGTTATGGTAAAGCCGGGGCCTTTCTGAGATTACAAATTGACCCTTTGCATATATGGGGCCCACACTGATTGCAATCCTTTCCCTCGCAACCTGTCAAAGACTAAGTGGGCATTAAACAGGAATAGACAGGTGTGCAGGGTGCACTTCAGCAGAGTATAATACCATATGAATTCAGAAGAAAATCATAGAAATATATATATATATATATATATATATATATATATATATATATATATATATATATATATATATATATATATATATATATATATATATATATATATATATATATATTTTTTTTTTTTTTTTTTTTTGACAGGATAAGATTGTCTTGTAGGAACATGTTGAGTAGAGGAGTAGCTGCTTATTACTCATGAAGTAAAGTTAATCCAGACTGATATAAACAATCTGTGTAAGTGAAGTTTTAACCTTTGAGGCAGGGCAGGTCTCTTTGGAAAAACGCTAATTTACATGGCTTTCTTTTACTACTTTATATTTGTATGTAAAATTGTGTCTCAATTATTTTTATACAATGATTTTCAGTGGCTAGTGCATAATGAAAAACCTTTAATTTAAAATGTCTTTCTTTCTTTTGTCCTTTAATGCACTTTTGACTGACTTACATTATGAATTATGCTTTTACAGAGCTATTTATTTTCAGCCCTCTTATTTCTGTTATTAATATTCATTTAACTAAAAGTGTGGGGTTCAGCTGCTACACTGTTTTACCCCAGAAAAGTGAAGGTAACCTTTTGCACCTAGTTTGATTGAGTAAATTTACTCAAATTGTGTTATTAAAGTGTATCTTGTGTTAATAGCTACAATATGTAACACCTAGAGAAATTAGGTAAAATCTACCCAAACTAGCCAACAGGGCCGCACAATTAGTCTAAATGAAAATTACCACCTTTTTTTAAACAGAAAAATGGGAACAATATTATTATGATATACAGTTAAACTTAAGGAACTAATGTTGAACATCGCACAATTTTCTTGTTACAAGTTTTTCCTTTTCTAAATGGTTCTGTAAAGTTAATTCCTGGCACAGGTAGTAACTGCCTTTGAAAGCAAAAATCTTTGGATACATATCTTTCTGTTACATTTTGGTACCTTTAACAAAAAGGTAGGATTTACACATTTTAATCTAGTCAATTTGCAAATTATTCAGTAATTATTAGCAAAATAAGCATCCTGTTGACACAGAAGCTGGGAGATATGGAAGTGCTGATGTCTATGGGCATCCATCCGAGCAACAATGCCGATCAGAACCTGAGCAGATCTTCTATCTAAATTAACACTGCAGAGAACCAGAGGCAGAATGGGCTCACAACAGAAAACTTTTAACTGCCTGGTTTGGATTCTAGTTCACCAAGTTACTGTCTAAGACAACATTTGTCCTGATGTAGCCTAATCCTTTGGACTGGATAGATCTTTATCAATCACCACCCTATGAACTCAGCTGGTAAACTGTTTTTTTTTTTTTTTTTTCTTTTTAATAAATCTACTATCCTACTAACTTCAGTGTTTTGGCAGTTTTTTGGCTGTATTATGACTAAATGTTACTTATACCGGTTTCTACATATATCTAATATTGCAACAGAAGCATGGAGAGAACAATAAGAGAAGTAAATCATCTTTTTCAAATCCTATAAATAGCTCATTTATCTCTTTAACATTGAAACTATTTGCAGGTATCAGTGTTTCTTTCTTTAAAAAAATCCGTAAAAGTTTTTTGTATTCATAAAAGATTATTTTCTTTATCCATGTAAATCAGGTGAAAACAAGAAGGGGAATTAACAGAATCCGTCAATTCTTCTTGCATTAGTATTTTTCTAACTTTTTAATAAAATATTTTCTTTTCATTGAGAAAACCATCTCTTTATAAGTAGTTGTAGGATTTAAAAAAAAACACACTGATTTTTGATTATGTGGATGGTTTCAATATATGCTCATAAAAATAATTATTATTAATAAATTCAGGCCAGGTTTGATCAAATTACTAGTTGATTTAACAGAGTCAGTTTAAACTTAAATTTAGGAATGAAACAAGATTACAGCCTCGGTGCATCATGTATATGCAAACCTTTAACCACCATAAAGCATACATTCAGAGCTTTCTGTCCTTTCAGTTTGTTAGGAAGATGAAAGGACATCAGGTCTCACTCACATTCAACAGTAAATCAACCCACAACTTTCCCTAGATATTAGCCTGTCAATAATGTTGATGCAGTGAAAACAAACCCACACACACATAAGCTACAGAGGTCCATTCAAGGATCTGGTCAATAATGCTAAATCTACATGACATTTAAAGTATCTCCAGGGAACAGGGTGTTTCTGGTGAAATCAGCAGCTGGGATATGAGCTTATCTAATGAACTTACCTTCTGTGGCTCCTTCAGCATACCCAATATTGTCCTCCTCATCAGCCTATAGAAAAAAGAAGAGAATATGTTAACAGTTGACTGTGAATTCAATTTCCTTTAAAAATCCAGACAGCCTTGTTAAAAAAAAAAAAAAAAGTTTAAATGCTGATTGGTGTCTGCATTCAACTTTAATTGTGAATTGTTTTATTCATATCCATTATCATGATTTATGTATAACTGTGTCTTGTTTTTAAACTATTCATCATTTTCTTGTTTTGGGATGGCCTCTCTACTGCCTGTTCAAACCTCCTTAAAGATGGATAAGTTCAGCTCCCTTTGTCATTGACTCTCCATGTGAGCTAGCTCTCATGGTTTCTACTAATCTGCACCTGATTGGTTGACCGACTGAGTTCTGAAAGTTAACTCTATTGCAAATCCTTTATTGAACTCAACAGACATTAAAAAACATCCCTCTGGACTACTTGTCAGCTGCATTGCTTTTTTACTTAATTAGAAGCACCAGGCATAGTTATTCACTGCAATGTTATACAATTAATCCCTTTCTTTAAAACAAAAAAAATCTAATGAAAAATTAAATGCATCCTTGTGATCTGTTGCCATGGCAACAAAAACCCCTTTGCACTACCCACTAAGCATTAACCGTATACCTTTAAAGCAGTTAGCACATTTATATATATGTCTGTAAAGCAATGAAAGCCCAGATTGCATTAAAGTACCACAGTAATGCCAGAAAGGACAGTGGAATCATTTGATAACTGAACAACACACAGGCCTTTATATAACCTCTGTAAATTTTAAGATCTGAAGTTGAGATTGTGAAACTCGGTGAAACTACCTGTAAATAAAGGTTACACAAAATAATAATAAATCATAAACATTGTGATCGTGTGTTTATAAGCTATGAATTGTTGTTCTGGTAAGCTGTTAACAATTGTCCAAACAGGGTCTCTGTTGTAAATGAGAACTTGTTTCTCAGTGAAAAAACTTGGTTAAATAAAGGTTTGATTAAAATAAAAACGTTTTCTTAGCCCAACTCAGGACATTTTTTTAGACTATGTCCCACTTAGTATTGTTGTACAATTGCAATGCAAAGTTCAGACCACAAAGATATTCTGAGGTCTACACAAAAGTCTGTTGAGGAATCTGCAGCCAGTGGAAGAGCCAGTTTTCAGCTGCTGTACTAGAATCAAACGCCTGCAGAGAGCCAGGGCAGGTCTGGGTGAAACGGCAAAAGGTCGAACTTCAAGTCAAGCAATTTGTTGTGTTCTACTGTGCAGCATTCTAGTTCTGGCGACGTTTACTGAATACATTTATGATGCTCCTTTTGGTTTCATAGAGTAAAACTTTTAAGATCAGGTATTTAACATCAAGTAATTTCCTTTCATGCTTTAATATCAGTAGGTTTCATATTTGGTCTCTGCAGTAACAGCTGCAGAACTCTGGGAATATTTTTAGGAAGCCAAAATGTGGTATATAATGTTCAATGGAAAGTTGTTGGGACTTTATTTAGTTTAAACTTCTTTATACAAGCATGTCTATCTGTAGGGCCATGTCAATCTAAACAAAAACTGTTTCATTTAATTTGGCATATTTTCTAGTTCAAAATTCCCTCCTTTTTGTGAAAATCTGTAACCTTTCGAGGTTTTTCTCTGCTTATTTCTGAGCGGTGTTATTGTTTTCGAATAAGTAAACAGAAATACATTTCTTTTTTACTTGTCTTTTTTTGCTATCATACAGCCCCAAGCAGTTAAAACACATCAATTTAAAAGACATTTTTTTATCTCCTGTAATTGCACTGCCTATAATCATGAATCTGATCCTATTTCTTCCTCATTAATCAGTCTTTTGGATATTAGAAAGGAGGAAGAACCTTGATGACAAATCTTGCATTTGCAAAATAATTTATTTCATAACCCAATCCTTTCTATGAAAAACAGCTTTCAAAACTCAACAAACCTTTGAGTTTGATATAACTTATGTAATAATATAACTGGTAATTTTATAAGCCACAAAAAAAAAATGCCTCATGGGTAATTGCTGAGTAATTTCTGTTCAGCTATTGAAAAATAAAGATTCAAAGACATCCGACGGTGAGCTCTGACAGTCCTGAGATGTTTTTGTTATTGCTGTGGGTCTGTTGGCATTTTAAACTGTGCAGATTTAATCGTGCAGCGCATTTACAAAAATCTGAAACAAACATCTATTGTCTTCACTCCGAACAATTCAGCATGGGCTTTCACCTCCTTTTCTTTCACATCCCACTGCAATGCATTTCGATCTCCAAAAGAAACCATTAACAGCTAAAAAATAGCAAGCCTCATGCATTGAATGTTGCGTAAGTTGACTGTCTGGCAGCTACGTGCAGAAAAGCAAATAAAATTGATACATTCTCTATTATCAGTCTGAAATACCTCCAAACAATAGGTTAATCTCTTTTTCTCAAACTGAGCAGCACAGCAGACAAAATAGATGCTTTACAGCAATAGGCAATACAGCTGATTTAAAAAAAAATAAAAAATCACAAAGCAATGTTTAAATTTAAGTTTGACTCAGTCCTCCTTTCTAACATGACTCCCTAAGGATTTATCTGCATATCTGTAGATGGGAGGTAATTAAAAGCTGCTCTTTCAACATGAATGACTCGGATTGCTCCAACACCTACAGTGTTTTCATTAAACTGGGTCCTTTAACAGTTATGCCAATTTTATCAGGGCAAAAACTAAACCTGTTTGATGTTCTTTAGAAACCAAATCCAAGGAGATGGGTCAGGGGAAATAATTAACAATTTTTTCCTGCTCTAACACAGAAGGCAGATTCTTTGATGTTCTGAAAGTTAGAAAACAAATATGTGCAATCTTCTGTTTAAAGTTAACCAGAGAGATCTACTAATAATGACTAACCAGCAGTAAGGTTATTCAAAAACCATTGGTTACTTGTTAGCAATTAGAACTGCAACCTTATGTGTTTTATTTGCTTCAGTTTGCTCTTATCTGGGTAAATATTATACGTAAGCTCGTTAAAACACATCAGTTTTTAGGGGTATACTGGTTTCTCGATTATTCTTCTCCATTGATATTTTGATTTTGTTTTTTATATTCATATTTGCATATCAATTCCTCCTAGTCTTTTCCTGCATGTTTTATTGTTTTTCTGTAAGATTTCTCACATTTTCTTAACTACTTGTCTGCATGGTAGCACAAGTGTTAAATTAGCTTCCTTACAGTGAGAAGGACCAGTGGAGTTTGCATGCCGTGTCTATGCATGAATCTTAGTTTTGCCTCCCACCACAGTCCAAAAAGAAACAGACTTAAGGCCAATATATGCTTCTGACGCATAGCCTTTGCAACCGTCAAATCTGTCTCTGTGCACGACCACGCCCAACACGCAGAGGTTCGGCAACCATTGTCGCCTACCACAAAAATATACTGACTATGCGTCGGACGATCGCAAACCCGCACAGGCCTTAAGCGGAATTGCGCCCACAAAAACGAGCTGTGATTGGTCCTTGGTATGCCTTTCTGGCTGTCTGTGTGGTCGTCCATCTTGATTCGGTGCCAGGGCGCGCCATTTTTTAAAACCGAGGAACAACTACAATGGACCACTGCGACAAAAGGTTAATCGAGGACGTTTGGAAGTACAACCTCTTGTACGAAGCCTGAGACAAAAATTTATAAAGATTCCAAGGTCTCTGCCAGAACAAAGTGCTCGTGACCATCCGCCAAAGTTCTCATGAGTTCTCGAATAGGCCCCCGTTGCGCTTTGGCGGTAAACTGCTGTGCATCCCTAGAAATTCCAGATCGACGGTGCAGAAGCACACCATCAAAACTGGTTCGTGACCAGACGCAAGCGACATTTGATGTGTGCGGATGCAGAAGTCTAATCTGCTCTTTAACTGGCTGCTTCTTTCCTCACTGCCAGAGTTCCTATATGCTAATAGAGGCCAGGATGTACGACTGCTTGTCACACCATATTCACACCATAAAGATGAAGCAGTAGAACTTTCACTCAAACAACTAATTAAATGCAAAAACTGACAGTGAAGGTTTTTCAGATCTATAGTCTAAAAGAGGCAGAAGAGGTCATATCAGGAAAAAAGCCTACAGATTAAACTTGATAAAATTATCCTCTCAACTGAAACAGGAAGGTGAACAAAAAGTTAGGCGACATATCTAATCATTTAATGCTGAAATTTTTGATTTCCCATTTATAAGATATTTATTTCTATTAACTTAGAAATAAATATAACAGTCATCTATAGAGGTATAGATTGAACATTTATATTTATTTTACCACTAAATGCAAATATAATGTATACATATAAAACAACTCTACTATTGTACTGTATACATTTATGTATATTCTGAATATGTATTATATAAAGATAAAACAGCCCTACTATAATATATGACTTTATGTATAATGTGAATGTCTTATATAAAAATAAAACTGCCCTTTGTCATTATTTTATTTATTATTTTATTTATTAATCTCATTCTAAACTGCCGCTACAGAACATTGAATTGTCTTTTTACTGAAAAGTGCTATATAAAATAAATTTGCTTTACCTTTTTTTTTTTTACCATTTGCTTTACAGTCATAAATTATTTTTATTTTTCCTCTCCTTCATTTTTTGTTTTCTTGGGTCTTGATAAGATTGTTTATGTTTATAATTCAATAAGATGGAGTCAGTGCTTTAACTGTTTAGGTTGTGATTTCAACATTTGGATGCTTGTTGCTGTGATGTCCAAGAGAAGCTAGGAGTTGGGGGAAAAAAGTGGAGCCTTTCAGGGAGAAGCAAAGCTGAGTGTTGTTGGTGATAAATAAATGGTGCCAGTGTGGAGGAGTGCTGGGTGCCAGTAACAAGCCAGCTTGTCATGTGGGTACACCAACTGGTGTGATGAGTCAGAGACAGAAACACATGCACGGCACAGAGCACTCCCACATGATGGAGATGAAATATGCAAGAATGAATGCCAAAGTGAGACGCACAGATCAGTTCATTTCTGTGGAGCAGATACAGCATGTAAACGATGCAATCACTAA